TGTCAAAATATCAGTTTTATATGCAACCGTGACGTTCTGCTAGGTCTAATTCTGAGTTTAAATTATTCAAAAATATTTCTTGACTCGTATAAAATAAAACACCATTTTCTTTGCATGAAATTAAGAACCGATGTAGGTCTAGATTGACAAAGAGGAAGACAAATTGAAGATATAGACCCTACTGAAATATAAATAGCTTTTTGTATCCCTTTTACCTCACCATAACACCTGTAATTAATCTTGACCTACACCAGATACCATGACTGAGGCATGAGTAGGGTTCATGCAGTATGAAAAATAGCACAAATATAACGTTTCATACTCAAAAACCGATAAATCAACCCAAAAAATGAAGCTTCACATTGCATATCAATAGCACAGTTTCAAAGGAACATCCGGGTATTTCTCTAAGTTTTGCCCTTCTTAGTAATGGCGGACCGTGCTCCATGCGCGCACAGAGCTTTGAACGGGCGCGTATGGCGAGTCCGCTCTCTAGTCTTATTTATATTTATCTCTATGAACTAGATCATGGGTGGCCGTCCCGCGGCCGCATGCGGCCGGCGGAGCTTTGAAAAAGTAATTGTTAAAATAGCTCATAAATGAAATGCGGCCTGCCGGCCCACATAGCAGCGATGAAATAGGGTAAAACATTTACACACAGCTATCTCTATTTCCATAATTTGTTTTCATCATTCACAACATATTGACTCGTCATTTGGTTGATACAAAACTCCTCCAATTCCAGCCTCATTACTTTACATTAACTTGCCGTGTTAATTTCAGTTTGCAATTTCCGCATGCAGTAATGTTTGTAAATATACAAATGTTGTGTATCGAGAAATATGTTTGAAATGCCATATTTATACAACCCTTTTCTCCCGCCCTTGAATTTTCTCATGAATCTTAATCGTAAACTTGTCCCCTTTCGCCGCGTTCAATGAGATGTACAGTGTAACTAATAAAGTTAGGATATTCTTTCTGATGTGTCCTTGAACATGGCATCGACTTTGAGACCTGCGAAGAGAAGGAAAGTTTCTGATGAAGTCAGAAACTTTAAATCATATTGGTCTCTAAAGTATTTCTTCATAGAAGAACACAATTTTCAGCACAAGTTTTTGTTTTGTCCTCCAATATTTAAACCCCCCCCCCCCCTTGAGCACCAGAGGAGGGGGCCCGTTTCCAAATAAAGGTAAAATTAACGTGTTTTACCTGTTTTTTCCAAGGGGAGGGGCCGGCCCCCCCCCCCCTCCCCTGGATCCGTCACTGGTGTGGGGGAGAGGAGGGGGGGGGAGACTACCAACGGTCCGCCAAGTTATGCCAATCATTAGCTGTGGCCCGCGAGCTTTAAAAGGTTGGCCATCCGTGGTCTAGATCTACCAGCGCTGCGACCCACACATAGGAGCATCACTATCCTGGCTGTGTAGTAAAAGCTGTGCTTTTGATTTCAAACACCACGGTACAAAACCCAATTGATTTCACTAAAAATCGGTACTTTAGTGACAATTGATAATAGCAGTAAAATACATTTTTTTTAAACTTAGTCTAGGCCTAGTCCTAGATCTACTGATGTTAAAAAGAATAATTTAAAAATTCAAATTGTAAGTCTAGTGTCAAACTTTGCTTACAGCTGCATTGACATGATTGTGTAGAGTCTATGCGATATTGTGTGGTGTGTGTATTTGTGTATGGGTATAATAATACTTGCCTCACAGCATGTATGCAGTGCTAGAGGTCAATACGCATTAGCATTGACTCTCTATGTAGGGAGGCCAATGCCCGGGCGTAAGGCTTCTACACCTACGATTTGTGCGCTTGTCGTCCAAGTCAGAAAATTACCAGAAGAAAAAAAAAGCGGGAAAAAAAAAGAAAACAAATAGAGTAAAGGAGCCGGTTTTCGGCAACTTAAGACAAAATCCTATTTTTTGGACCCTTTACTTCCTATTTATTATCATTTTTTGTTCAAATCGTGAAGCAAATATTATCATTATTTAAACAAAACAAGAATCCCAGAAAAAAATCACGAATTGCCATGACAATATTCATTTCAATTTTCATTGTTTCGGAGTCAGTTTTCGGCATAGCGTACCAGTTTTCGGCCGCATGTACAAAGTCAATAGGAAGCGCGCGCACGCGTCGTGCGTTTCCGCGCTGATCTATAGCACTAGCGGGCGGAGCAGATATCCCACGCCGGAGCTCCCCGGAGCTCGCCAGGCCAAAAACTAGTACTGCGGTGATCAGATATTGGATTCTGAATTAGACAGAGATATCGTGTGTGCGTTGCGGTGTGCGGCTGCATTGATTTAATACATGCGATGAGATACTTTTGAGCTTGCGACTAGCACAAAATCGGGCTCTAAATCTGAAAAATACTTGAAATAAAGCTCATTTTATGGTACCCATATTTCTTACAGACACGCGTAAGATACTTGATTTTTCAGATTCGGGTAGCGGGACCGCCGATAACATCGCTAAAATGTGATATTTTAGGATATATTTTTCATTGCAAATGTGGTTCTTCAGTGACACTGGCATGGTATGGTATGTGTGGGATATGTGTTATGCTATTATGCGATGTATTTTAGAGGGATTTTACCTTCATCCAACCTATCGGCCGAAAACTGGAGCTGGCCGATAACCGGCTCCTTTACTCTATCTATGGAATAAAATCTATAACAAATGCACAATTGTACAATTGTACACTCCACAACATATACCTACAATCACGGATCTGTAATGGTCTTTCACCATTTGTTGACGATCTTGCAGATTTTGACGTATTTGAATTAATAATAATAATAATAAACAATATTTATAAGGCGCTTAATACTGGTGTCTCTAAGCGCACCATATTCTGACTTAACAATTATTTACCAAAACTTATAATAAACACACAACTTATACATCTGTTCTTTATTCAATAAATCATGCATATATAATAATAAAAAATAAGATAAGAGTGAGATCAAACAAACATACATACAAGAGGTCAAACATAGGATCAAAAAAAAAAAAAATAAGACGGTGTGCACCTCCTTTGACCGACTCACAACTGCAGAATATTATTTATGAATTAAAAAGGTGCGTTTTCAGCAAGGACTTGAATTGGTCAAGAGAATGAATATTATGAAAGTGCGCTGGTAATTTGTTCCAAAGGATAGGGGCATTTACTGAGAAAGCTCGGTCGCCATATTTTGTAGCGGTACGAGGTCCGAGGGTTAACTGCAAGGTTGATGATGATCGAAGAGGTCTTAAAGAACTAGAAGAACGAAAGGAAATCAAATCTGAAAGATATTTAGGGGCTTGGCCATGGAGAATTCAATAATTATGTTAGCAGACGAACATTAAAGTGCACACAAGAGAAACTAGAGGGGTCCTAGAGCTAGAGGGCGCGGAGTTTAGCTCACTAAAATCCTTCTCGATGGCAGAAGGTAGACCCTAAAAATATGGAATCCATTTTAAATGAAATAACTTTCGATAACTTTTAACAACTAGAAAATATAACGAAAAAAGATTATATCTTTTTAATTGCAGATTTGTAAAAACTGCACATTCGAAGGTAGATAGAGTACGATGTTTTTGTCAATCTTGCGTTGGTTTGAGGCCGATAGCTATAGCCATCTCAAATTGAGAAGAAAAACTGTGAACAGTGATGTCATTGTTCTAGCCAAATATGGAGGTATTGCAACATCATAATATGAATATGTATGAGCTCCGGTCAGAACACCCACCAAACAAATTTGGCTAGTCTCAAACACAGTACCTTATTCTCAGCAGTAGACACCAGTGTCGTGCAGTAATGTATCAGAAATGTTAAAAAAGACATTTCAGTAAAAAAAAAAAAAAAGTCTACGTGAGCAGTCTATACTCCAATTGAGAAGTGTAATGAATGCCATGATTTGAATGTGTGTGTTTTAGTGTATGATATGGTTAGTGAGAGAGAGAGAGGGAGAGAAATATATCTGTCAGTACACGTCTATCATATGTCTGCGTACGTTGGATGCGTGCAGTCCTATCGACTATGTTTGATTCCGTATTGTGTTTGCTGCAAGTTGGATTTATCGATCGTTGATAATGCAGTGTCAGATTGATCTTTACTCGTGAGGAAATAGTAATCGGAATACATCTCAAAACTAAGGTAGACCTACGCCTATTTATTTATTTCAATCACTTTCTTAGTTTACAATGAGTGGCTTTCGAGCTTTCTCTCTATTATGTTTTGACCCTCCATGCCATGGCTATTTCATTTCAGGATTTCAGGATTTCAGGATTGCGGCTTGCATGCAATTACCGTACCTGGCCTGTAGTAATGTGTCGGTGTGTGCGACCGATTCAAGGCTAGCCGGATGATGAATGTACTTTCGCGCGAAGTTTTGAACTTGTTGTTCAGGCAATGACACGCCTATTCCCTCAGGCCTCTCTAGACTAATTCTCGACGTAATTTTCGGGGACATGAAATTGATTGTTTCAAGGGCTCTTATGTACGGCCAGGGCCTAGCCCTAGGCGCGGCATAGAACTAGAAGGAAAGGCCTAGAAAATAGCTGGATATCTCCTATTCTATGGAACTTCTGGAGTCGGCAGATGGGCGAGTTGTCTTAGCCTAGAGGTCTATAATACTAATAGACTAGACCCTACTTGAAAGAAAATGCTTTCTTTTAATCTTTGTTTTATTGTAAACAAATTAGTAATTGAAAAGTTAGATTTGGGCATTGGCCTCCCTCCCCCACCTCCAGTCAAAACTCTTCTTCGGAGTAGACCTATTTAGGAGGAGAAGAATCCAAGATCCAAGATCCCTACACTATGCTGCGACCGAATGGTCGAGTTACATCCAACAATACTCAATAGGCCTAACTTTTTTTACATCATGAATGTCAACACATTGGACAATGCGAATGCGAAGGCCCATTTTAAAATCAACTAAATTGCCTTAATGTATAGAAATTTGTCGAAGAGAGTGCAGCTTACTGCATTTACTATTTCTAAGTGCGTTGATATTACTTACACGATTATATATAAAAGGATATGGAAATACCAGGCATTTTCTCAGGTTTCTAGGTAGGCCTACGCCATTTCACAGGATAAACACTTTCTTTCTTATCTAGCGCCCCCATCGGCCATACAGCAAATTCTTCTTCTTCTTCTTGTTTTCTTCTTCTTCTTTTTCCGAGTTCTTCTTTTTCCGAGTTCTTCTTCTTCTATTGATTCTTTTCCCCTGATCATTTCCCTTTCCCTCTCCTTTTGTTTCTCCTTTTTCTTAATGGTACTAGACCTATGTCCCATTTGCGGGCCCAAAAAATTCCAACCGCATTTGAAAGATAATACTAATTTAGAAATTCCCTTCCCTTTAAAAAAAAGGAGGGCTTGAAAATGTCTTTAAGTGGGAAAATAAGGATTAGTTGTCGAATCGACTTAAGAGCTATAGAGCCAGTAAGTAATAGTCTGATTTTCAGACCAGTGTACCGAATGGTCGTACGTTTTATGCTTCGCAAAGATTCAATCAGTTTAATTTTGGCATTCACAAGAAGTGGGTTATTGATGTAGACAAATGCTCATGTGCCCTTTACAGCTCATTTCATGTATATTACCAAAGAAGAAAAAAAGCCAGTCAGTCACTCAATAGTGTCTGACAGTAAAGTCTAGCAAGTTAACGGGTTACCTTGCATGATTTGAATATCAGGACACTGCTAACGTTTAAATTTTACAGATAGGACGTACATGATTATAATTCCTGGAAAGTTCTACATAATGGCTGCAAAAGGGACATTTTTGTACCTTTAAACTGCACGGGATGTTTTAAAGTGCATTTAAAACATCCCGTGCAGTTAAAAAAAAATATTAAAAAATAAGTATACTCACATTGTTTCTTCCGTTTACTTGAGGATGGACTGGATGATATAAATATTTGTAGAGATCTACACACTAATGGAAAATACAGGGTACGAATTTCAAAGCAAGGGTAGCAGGAGGAGAGCATTATTATTTCTTTGGGGGATTAGGCATTACTGGGTTTAATTGATATATGCTACTTAGACACTTTTATTAATTCTTTATGTTGTTTTATTAAGGAATTTAAACATTTAAACATTTAGGTGTTACCATATGAAAACAGCAACTTTAAAACCCAACTACAACCTTGTAAAACTCAGACTTTGGATGAGTCAAACATGTAGCTTGAAATGAATCTTGAAATAAGACACTTATATTTGCTAATATGCTCGCTGTTTTATAAATATTTATTTACATTTCTTTTTATGAATGTGTATATGATCCGTTACTATATACCTCTGTCATTTTTACCAAAACCAATAAATGTGTATATGATCCGTTATTATATGCCTCTGTCATTTTTACCGAAAAGGCAGGTTCGTAGAGCCAAGTATTCTGCATAGAACATAAATTATATCGGTTATACAAAAATGAAAACTTGGAATGAAAATATATCGACAATGCCATATTTCGTATAAAAAGCTCTTTTTTTTTTTTACTAAAAGAAACAAATCGTTGCATGAATCTAGGCAACTGCAATAGTAGCCTATATTTTTTTTAAAATTCTACCAAGGACTTTTAAGGAACGGAGTCCTATCTACCTCAGAATCCGGGCTAACTCGCAACAAGCAACCATCGACCAAACCTCCCCGCTCTCATTTAAAAGTGCAGTTACTGAAGAACTTTTTTCCAAAATGTAATCGTCCACCCTCCCCTACCTCCAGTCAAAACTCTTCTTCGGAGTATTTAGGAGGAAAATAATCCAAGATCGAAGAACTCGGCTCAGATTTTAAAGGGTCATTTATCAGAGGTGAAGGGGGCAGTTATCTGAAGTGAAAAGGAACAACTTCTCGTACCTGAAAAGGGTCATTTACCAGATAAGGAGCACTTAAGGGGGAAGGTGCTCTTTTTAATGGGGCACTTATCATTAGGAAAAGGGGCACTTACTAGAAAGGAAAAAGGGCACATGTGAAAATATAAGGTGCGCTTGTCCGAGTTAAAAATAATGGGGGTAGTTATTAAAAGGGGAAGGGGCACTTCTTACAAAGAAAAAGGGGCGCTTGTCAAAGTAAAATAGGCACGTATCTCTCAGATTTTAATAGGACAATTATCAGAGGTGAAGGGGGCACTTATCAAAAGTGAAACGAGGCACTTCTCGTACCTAACTAGGGGTACTTACTAGAGATTAAAAAGGGCAGTTATGAGAATGGAAAATGGACACTTATTGCAAAGGAAAATGGGAACTTGTCGAAGGAAAAGGGGCACTTATCAGAGTTGAAAGGGGGAAGGGGCACTTTTACAAATTAATAGGGGCACTTGTCAAAGTGGGGGCACTGTGCCCCCTTGCCCCCCCCCCCCCCCGGAGGGCCGCCTCTGGCCAGGAGAAAATATGTCAGGCATGTGCTTAACTGGATCTTCCTTGAAGATACGTAGAAAAAAATATTCCCGCCTAGCTGCAAACTAACGGGCCACTTTCAAAGGGAAATATGCTTTTGTAATGATAATTATTATTCGCTACCACTCATCTGATAATACGAGCAATAGGCCAAGGGGCGTCTCGAAAGGAGGGAGGTTGTGGTACGAACCCCTCCCCCCCCCCCCACCTGTCAGGATATTATCGGTAAAATTGCGCTGCCGTCGGGAAAAAAGAGAAAAGGGGAAGGGGGAAAAGGAGAGGGAAAGGGAAAGCCGAAAAGAAAAAACAAAAGGAAAAGAAAGGAAAGAAAGAAAAAGAATGGTAAGAGAAGAGAAGAAAGAAAAGGAAAAAAGTAAAAAGAGAGAGGAGAGGAAAGAAAGGAAAAGAAAGAAAAGAAAGAAAAGGAAAACAAAAGAAAAAAGAGAAAAAGGAAAGAAAAGAAACGGGGATAAAAGAGAGGAGAAGGGGGGAGGTAAGAGTTCGCCTGGGAAATGAGAGTTGGGAGTCAAAGAGAGAGAGGGGGATGTTGGGTGGAGTCGTCTTGTCGAGGCAGCAAGTAAGACACGGATAAATATGTTGCTGTGTCGGGTCAGCTGTGACGGTATTTTTGCTCGATCCCTGTGTATATATAAATTCAGAAGTTTGAAGTCGGCGAGATGTATAATGTCGGTCGGCCGACAATTTTTTCTCTCCCTACGAACTGTGATTTTTTATCCGCCGTGACGACTTCGAGAGAGACTAAAACTATAATTCTTGTATTTTCTCGAAATTTCCCTTTCCTATAACATCAGTTAAAGAAATCAGAGGTTTGAAATTTTCGGGGAAACTAAATTTAAGCAAGGATTAAGAGTCAAGAACGGTAAAATGAATCATCTTTTTTCTCTAATAATCTAATAAAACGTCTAAGCTTCTGCGCTTCGCACGGGAGGGGGGGGGGCCGGGATGGGAACTGAATTCAGACAATTTCGGTTAAGAGGCGCGAACGGTACAACGAATCGTCTTCTTTCTATAATAATTTAATGAAACTTATAAGGAGGGAAATGAATTCAGATAAGGATCAAGAGTCGAGGTCAGTACAACGAATCGTCTGCTTTCTCTAATGATTTAATGAAACGTCAAAGCTTCCGCGCTTTGCGCGGGAGGAGAGAAGCTGAATTCAGACAATAAGAGTTAAGAGTCGAGAACGGCACCAAAAATCGTCTTCTTTCTATATTCATTTAATGAAACGTCAAATCTTCTGCGCTTCGCGCGGGAGGAGGAGGAGGGGGAGGAGGAACGGTACATACAACAAATCGTCTGTAATTATTTAATGAAACGTCAAAGCTTATAAGGGGGAAAATGAATTCAGATAAGGATTAAGAGTCAAGAACAGTACAACGAATCGTTTGCTTTCTCTCATATAATTTAAGGAAACGTCAAAGCTTGTAAAGGGGAGATGAATTCAGATAAGGATTGAGAGTCGAGAACAGTACAACGAATCGTCTGCTTTCTCTCGTATAATTTAAGGAAACGTCAAAGCTTCCGCGCTTCGCGCGAGAGGAGGGAAACCGAATTCTGACAATTAGGGTTAAGAGTCGAAAACGGCACCAAAAATCGTCTTCTTTCTATATTGATTTAAAGCTTATCTGCCGTAGTTTACAGGAGGGATTAGACTGCCCTGTAAGGTCACTGGACAGAATGGTTATCTCATCAACTCGGCTCTCAGTTAACATAAGAAAAAGAGGATCATGGGGGACCAATGGTCACCAATTAGGCATTGTTTGTTATATAGAGGGCGCAAGTAGCTACAAGTAGTGCAGTGGGCCTTTAATGAAACGTTAAATCTCCCGCGCTTAGCGCGGGAGGAGGAGGGGGAGAACTGAATTTAAACAAGGAGTAAGAGTCGAGAACGATACAACGATACAACGAATCGTCTTCTTTCCCTAATAATTTAATGAAACGTTTAAACTTCCAAGCGCGCTTTTTAAGCGATCCTCTCGCTCACTATTGCCCCCCCCCTAAATTAAGATCCAAGCTACGCGCCTGCATTTAAATATAGCTATATGCAGGCGCGTACGCAGGATTTTTTTCAAGGGGGGGGGGGGTTTAAATTTTGAAATCGGGCCGAAAATTTCGCAACGACTCAGCCAGCCGCTGAATAAGCGGGGGGGGGGGGGGGTCTCGAAATTTGAAAATTTGACATTTTTCTTCGTTGGGAGGGGGGTAAGGTCACCGTTTTTAGGTCAGCCATGGGCATAATTTTTTTTGTTTTTTTTTGTTATAGATGAAAAAAAAAATACCAAAGGGGGGGAGGGGGTTCAACCCCCAAAACACCCCCCCCCCCCCACTGCGTACGCGCCTGGCTATATGATGCTGACTAGTTGACAAAATAATTTGTATATTTAAGTACGCAAGTACTATAGATAGTTCATAGGAAAAACAATTTAGCCTTCGGCCCCGGGTTTATAGGGTTAAATTTGTAGACATTGAGATATTAAATTGTGTCGGTAATTGGTGGCTAGTTTTGTCGGCAATCGTTGGCCTCTACACCCCCCCCCCCCACTGAAAAAGGTCTAGCCCCGGCCCCCCCCCCCCCCCCCACTCAGGTTTCAAAATGACCGCATGCGTGTTGCCAAAATGTCCTTTTCGTAACAAAAGAAAAAGGTCGAGCCGTATTGACTTTACACACCGGACTTTTGCTGAAAAGGGGGGGTGCGGAAAAAGGCT